GGGTCGCTATCACTGAACCGTAAAAGCAACTTCGGAGGGACGAAATCTGCTGCGCCACGATACAAGCTCGAGGGGGTCACTCGGCTTTCATGTCAAGTCAACAGAATGAGACTTGAATCTTTTTTTTTTTTAAAATTGTATTCCCACTGTTCCAATGTTCCAAGCCACGGCCTGAATTGAAACAAAGCAAAACAATATTGTGTCTTAGCAAACTAGCGTCGGTGTTGCATTTTTAACCCTTTATGCAACATAACTTAAGTTTATACTGAGACATATATTCTTTATCCTCTGCAAAAGTCACTTAGTTGCGAAACTCTTGTCTGTCTTATGAATTCAGTTCTCAAGAGAAAAGTGTTTTTGGAAAACAAAAAGTTTCTCCACTCCCATTCTAAAATTTGAGCGATTGAGAACCATAGTGGGCTAGCTCCATTTTTTTTTGGGGGGGGGGGTTGTGGCTGTAATTACAATCTGGTGGATTTATATTTGGTCTGCTAAGAATATTTAATCACTTTCAAAAAACGTTTCATGCAATTGTGGTCTAAGCCCAAATAGTTGACTCTCAAATTTGTCGTTTATTCACGTCAGGACATTCAAAAAGTCCACCTAAATGGACGTTGTCCCACGAACATGATCACGGATGCCAAATGTGGCGCGTGACTTGTGGTGGCAAATAATTTAAAAGTCCCTTTCCAAGCGAGTGAGCAAGTTTTGCATTTGAGAGGCTGGAAGAGAGAAAACGAGGAGGACAGACAGACAAGAACGGGGAGCGCAAAGCCCGATGGGACGCCGTATATAGCCGGCGACTGCGAGGGAACGACTCCATTCATGCATACGGAGCGAGTCGCCTTTATTAACTATCCAACAGTCTCTTGTCTCTCGCTTTCTGCGTGCAAAACATATTTCAGCCGTTTCATCTGTGGTTTCCGACAAAAGAAAAATGGAGTTAGCCCACTCTTAGTATTAGTGATTCTGATGAAAAACAACCCTTTGGAGTTCGATTTTGGAAGCTGATTAACCCTTTCGTGCACCCTGAAACCTGATAAACTGTCCACTGTATGATGCCTGCCCCCCCCCCCTCCCCGGCATACATTGGCTCTGCTGTCACGCATATGAACGGGCGCGGAAGCAAACATGACATTATCACCAACAATGACTCATACCGCGAGGCTAGCATCAGTGTGTGTTGACTCCTTACACAGGCTTGCCCACTGCTCCATTACACCGAGCTGTCACCGTTAACATCGCCGGCACGCCACCGTGATTGGCGGGGCGGATTAACGTGACGGACAGCGGCTCCAAACATGCCCAGCGGCGTGCCATCACCGCCCACGCTTGGACAGCCGCTTGCCCTGCCCTTCCTCGCCGGCCATCAGGTCCGCTGCTGTATCCGCGTCGGCCTCGATTAGCTCAGCTGTTTCCGCCCCAGAAGCTGCGTAATGGGACCAGACAGGGTTTTCCGAATGAAGTAGGACCTTCAAACAAGTGTGGTTCTGCCAAGACAAAGATTCGTCAGAGATTTGCGAACGTCGCCGATTTCCAGAGCATAAGTTTTTATGATTTTATTACATCAAAAAATGAAAAGCTGTATGCAGGAGCGTATCACTCTCTTATTTTTATGGTCCTGGAATAATGATTCCCAGCAAGTTATCGATCCTGCCATCGGTGAAGGGCTTTTTGTACTCGGTCAGGATGTGCGCCACTTTAACCGATGCTTCTGTTGATGCCTCGCTCTTGTTTGTCGGTTTCATAAACAGAGACCGTTGTTTTTTTTTTGGAAGAGTGCTTTTCAGCTGTTTTACCTTCTCTTCCGCGAAGAAGTCGCTGTGGAAATGCCCCCGTTCCACACATCAGACATACACTTGTCGCTCATGTTTGCAAAGCAACAAGTACAAATAGTTCAGATCAGTTTAAGCCTAGTTTAGTTCACTTCAGTTCAGCTAAGAACCCCGTCAGACATCTTTGGGACGAATTAAAGCACGATTCGAGAAAATCTAACCGAGGAGTACCAATAGAATTTGGATATCCATTTTCAAGTCTTGCCAGATCCTCATTAATCCTGCTTGAACAGCTGAACTTGATTCAGAGTTCACCTGAAGCACTTTAATTCAATGTCATGTGCTGACCCCAATTTAATCGTAATTTCAATGGGACTGATTCATTCTGAGCGCAGCCACATCGCCGTTTAGAAGAGGGTGTGCGCACTTGTGCAACCACATTATCTCAGTCCCCCATCCCCGAGTTGTACAAGTTATCAGACGCATTCCTGGGTGGAAAAAAAAAAGTTTTCTCGATCCCGAAAACCTGGCATGTAAACAGGGGTGTGTAGACTTTTTCTTTGAAGTCTTTCGCTGACAAACGGTTTAATCTCGGGTACTTGGATGGCAACGATGCAAAGAGGGCATACTATCTCGCACTGTCGGTGTCAACGGAGCGCGCGCGTGTCGTATGCTCCAACGCGCTTCGTTTTCAGCGCATCAGCGCCCTGGAAACGAACAAGCTGGCACGCTAAGGGGTAACGGAGCAATAAGGCGGCCCACGGTCGAGCAGGTTTCTGAAATCAATCCGTTTCACAGAGCAGACAGATCTCAATGAAAACAGGCGGCGGCGATGAGCGCCGGCGTTGCCGTGACGACCGGGAGGCGGGCCCCGGCTTTGGTTTTCTTCACGCGTGCGGCAGGCGGCACCCAGACGGGGTTGGATTTTTAACCTCTTAAGTGGCAGAAAGCAAGCGTCGGTCTCAGATGAGATCATAGACGGACGGGGATGGGAAGCGGACGGTGGGGGGGGGGGGGGGTGCGTGGGTGAGGGTGAGGCATGTGAGCCGAAAGAGAAGGGCTTCAGTACAGGCAGCAAAACGCCCGCCTCAACGCAGATATGGAAAATGATATCAGTGGCTCTTGTTATTTGGCTTTCCGTAGTTTGTTACAGTCACACATATTTTTTTTTTTCAAATGAAGGACCCCCCCCCCCCCAATAAGATTATCATATTTTTTGCGCTATAAGGTGCTTCGGAGCAGAAGGCACGCCTTCAATGAATGGCCTATTTTAAAACGGTTTTCATAAATAGGGCACACCGCATTATAAGCCGCATAGAAGAGAAGCCACAATCGTGGCTGCAGTTGCGTTATGCATCCACTAGATGGTGCTGCGCTAAAGGGAATACAATACAATGCAATACAGCTTTATTTATATTGCGCTTTCACAATCACTGCAGCTGGAACAAAGCATTTTCCAGAATATTTACAATACTACCACTAATAATAATAAATACTAAGAAGAAATCAGAATATTGATAGAAGGCACATCGGATGATAAGTACTGTCGGCTTTTGAGAAAATGGAATGCTTTTAAGTGCGACTGATAGTCCGGAAAATACGATAATGTGGAAAATTTATGAGAATAAAGCTCACGGGGCACAAAGACATAAGCGTCCATATTTTATTTTAATGTTCATTCTCTCATGAATTCTGACTTTATTCTCTTCATCGACAATATTGTCAGTTTGCGCTGGAAATATTGCGACGTTACTCTCGTCACTGGAGTGGACTAAAACTCCAACTTTGTTCTCGGGATGCCACGCGTGTGATCAAGCAGTCATTTTTGACAGGCGGGTACGTTTTCGACAGATTCGCCGGCCTGTTTGGGTCGCGCAAGTTCGAACGCGCTGGCTGCAGATCGGAGAGGCGGCGCGCGAGAGGGAAGAGAGAGCAGGACGGGCTACAACAATAGAAACAGCGCGGGGGAGCCCACCAGAACACGACTGCTGGCGCGAGCGCCTGTGAGCAAGTTCATTAAATGGACAGACTTGTACTTTTCGGCTTCGGCCTTGCCTGGAGACACAAACTCATCGAGCATTTTTTTTTTTTTTTGCTCATTGGAACAAAGCAAATATCAACTCTAAAAACTAATTGGAACAAAAAAATAAATCAATACGTGCACACAAATGTAGAGTTATAAAGCTAAGTTAATTAGTGAGCCGAAAGAGGAAGTTGTGGCCAACTGCAAGCAGCTGCGATTTCATCAAACCGGAGCGGTATCTTAGCAACATCTCATATGTAGGCAGCGGAGGCTTGTCACCCATTGTCCTGGTTTGTGTCAATATTAGGTGGACTGGAAATGGTTAGCACGATCATTAGCACTTGCGCAATTGAACGAGATCCAGTGACAGGAAAAAAAAAAAAAAGGTCAAGGATGCCTTTTACATGATGAACAGTGGCGATTTCTGGCATGTGCATTACGTGAGGCCGCACGGGGTCTGCGTCAAGGTTATAATGCTGGAGGCTAACTCATGAAAGAATGAAAAAGTGAAGAAAAAAATATTCACAAAATCAAATAAAAACCACAAATATGTTTTTCAAAAGTGAAAGGACATCTTCCGTTTACAGAACAAACAAAAATGATCGCTATCCTTCGAGTCCTCCAGTTATTTCAAAAAAACTAAAATACTAAAACCAACAAAAACAGGACTGAAATAAATCACTTTTGAAAGATGACTTCACGAACTGAATTAAAAAAAAAAAAAGTTTTCTTTCAATTAAAATAAAAATCACTTTTGAAATCACCCACCCATTTTCCGCATATGAATGTTTCTCAGCGTTTTGGGGCACATTTTTAGGGTCTAATTAAATTTCTAATCTGTAATCGGCTCCAAAATCCTGATTGTGTCAATCTCAACAATAACGAGAAAAAGTATGATTTGATGACACGACTTGAGCAATAATGAAGTTTTGATTCAAAACATCATAGTTACTTGTATGATTGGGATATTGCCCGGCATGGCAAAATAACGTTTTATTGTTTTAACGTTCTAAAAATGCAAAAACGTGACCGTCGCTGCTTATGTTTTCAGGAATAAAACTATTGTGTGTTTGGTGAACACTTATGCCTACTATGCTACTGGATAAAAACGGTGGAATTTTTTTTTTGGTGTGTTGTTTTTTGGGGGGGGGGGGGGGGGGGCGCTTGGTGCAAAAAGTTTGAGAAACACCGGCGTTCCTTACCCTGGCCGCCCTGGAGGAGTAAGGGTCCTCGAATAGATTCCAGACGACCGGCTGCCACTTCCTCCACAGGCTGCCGCTCCCGTCGGGGGCCACGTCCTCGATGCCGAGCCTCTTGGCCACGTCGTCGTCCTCCTGCTCGCCGGTGTCCACGTTGAGCTCGAACACGTCCAGCGCCTCCTCGGCGTCGCGGTGCTGCCGGTACGTCATCCAGCAGCACGGCTCCACGTCCGTCTCGTCGATGCCCCAAAACGAGAGCTCCTCCTCGAAAAGCGGTCCGCAAACATCCGCCGGGCAGTGGAGCTTACCGGTGCGGTAGTAGTTGAGCACGTAAGCGAAGACGCCCGGGTGACGGTCGAAGAAGTACTCGTTGGTCCGCGCGTTGTACTCGATGAAGCCGGGGACTTGTTGCAGCTGATCCAGCACCGAGCCGATGTCCGAGTCGGAGGCGAGCAGGGCCAAGCGCGTCCCCGGCAACGTTTTCAGGGTGCTCTTGTACGTCTCGTGCCTGGTGCCCCCGACGTTGAGGATTATCCTCTCGTTGTCGTCGAACTTACCCATCGCTCGGGATCAGACATGACTCGATGGGGAGAAGCGGGGCGGAAGTTGAAGCGCACACACCCACGGTCCACGGTCCTGATGCTGCTCAGTCACAAAGCTCCGTCGGGGTGGTTTTTTTTGTCGCCGGTCTCACCCGTTGGACGACCTTGTTGGGTCTGGAGGGAGGAAAAAAAACAAACGCAAAGGGTGCCCATTGTTGTTGTGGCACCGACTGAGTCAAGACGACCGTGGCGTTTACGTGCATCTCCTCCACCCCATGCCCTCCTCCAAGACGCAGAGACGCGCGTCAGCGTCACGCCCCCCCCCCGCGCTCCCTCCATCCCCGAAAAAAAAAAAACATTTAAACGCATATCTAAATATGTAATGCAGGCATTTTTAGATTTCTATCCTTGCAAAAGATGAGTCATCCATCGGCGCTTTTCCTGTTGCTTTGGAGAGACCGACAGCAACAAAAACAAAACTTGGGGTCATTCTGGAATTGAAGGACAATTTGAACAAACATTTTGATCATTTATGTAAATCAGACTCCATACAATTCAGTGTCATTCAATATGAAGTTGTAGATCTCTTACCTTTCCACAAGGGGGCGCCAATTCCCCGACAATTATTGACGCGTCACCGCAGGCGTGTCTAGCCCATTTTTGGGGCCGCTAAACGACCCTTTAAATTAATCCAACGTCTAAAATTCGATGTCTTAAATTTTATTGACTGTTTTTATTTTCTTTTAAAGAAGCTGAGGAAGCGTCGCTGCCTTCGCTCCATTTCTAATGCGCGAGGAGGAGAAAGTGACGTCTTAAGTTTGAGCACAACTCAATCAGCAAGGGAGACAAAGCAGGAGGCTCGCCTTTAATTACACGCATCATTATTCCCCAGCGCAGCAGCTTTGTGAAACGACCGCCTCAGAGTAACCTAATTACTCATTACTTTGTTGTGATTACATCTGTACGGACTGGAATTAATAAAGATTTGGGGCCGGGAGTTGTATTCACAAAGTTAACGTGGTATATTTTTCAAATTTTTGGACCATGTTGAATCGTGTTATGAATGCTGGAAGGGTTTCACGTTGAAGATTTCAACAATCAGAGGCCCCCCCCCCCCACTAGCAAACAATCCAGATGGAAAATTGAGGGAAGGTCCAATGGAAAAGTCCACAAAATGGCTGTGACCCGGGCGGGATGACTTTTTAGATCCTCTTGGAACTGCTGCATTTTTAGGCCAACGGACCTCTGCAAGAGAAAAATAAATAAATAAAACGTGCATTCCAGTTATATTACTCATTTTTCCGGGACGTGCTGCCACCCAATTCCATTTCAAGCGGGCCTTTTTGGTGGCGGCGGAAAATTGGGCTGTTCAGTGATTGACTAATGAGATCATTCATCACGCAGAATGAAGGCTGCGAGCCAAGAGACGGACTCCCAAGTGCGCCCGGGCTGACAGGAAGAGGTAAATAAAATATATTCCAGGTGACCTTAACTTAAATAACCCATTAGACTCAACTGCAGTCCTTGGAATTCCTAAGTCCCTTTGGAGCAACCGTAGTGTCGTTGAAAATAGAAACCAGACTGAGTCTTTTTTTTTCCCCCCCCACATTTTTTGCTATATCTTGCCTCTAAAAATAGAGCAGCCGGAGTGCTGATCCTTATCAGGAATTGCAGGGTAACATTTGGTCTGAAAGAAGAGATTCTGGGCCAATACGTTTTATCTGCTCAGTAGCATTAAAAAAAAACAAACACGAATATTCCACTCCATCTCAAGTGCATGACTATTAATCCTGTTGAAACATATTTACATCAGGGAGTGACAGAGCAAAAATGCCTGTCAGACAGAGAGAGAGAGAGAGAGAGAGAGAGAGAGAGAGAGAGAGAGAGAGAGAGAGAGAGAGAGAGAGAGAGGGGGAGTGTTGTCCTCGAAACTTGACCCTTTCAAGAGTGTCAAGAAGATTTAGTTATGATGAAGCGCGATACCTCCGCCTCACCTTCAAAGCTCCAACAATTGGAAGGAGTATTTGTCATTTTGTGGAGTTTATACGTGAAAGTTTATTGGGTTTGGTTTTCTAACGGTGACTGCACTTTAACATCCGTTCCAAAAGCACCTAGCAGAATAAAACAAGACACGAACATGCGGAATTAAGCTGGAATCCCATTGGAGGAAACACTTGAGCTGATTAAACGTGGCCTTCCTTAATGAGAGAAGCGACTTTGCGACCAATCCCACAACTTTGTTTCCATGCCTGCAATGAGAGGAAGTCATTAATAAAACGCCGCATATCTAATTAGGAGTCCCGATTAAGGCGGTTGCTTCATTTCACCCGGCAGAACTTCTCCTAATTAGGTCACGTTTCCAATAATGTTGACAGGATACGATGCGTGCTCGCCTTGTTAAATATTTTATCATTCCCGTCACGCTCAGATAACGGTTCGCAACTTGACGAGATGAGAAATGTATTTGGAACTACAGCATGAGGGTAGATAAGAATCTTTTACCTTCTGGACTGGATAAGCAGTAATTGTGTTACTGTGGCGCCATCTACAGGACACAATGGGAACTGTCGTCCTGACTGTGGAGCGATTGAGGCGGAAGGAGACATTCACGACGGTCAAAGTCCATATTTTCTCCGATATTTACAAGCGTTCAAAAAAAAAACAGCGGCTATATTTCAGCGCAGTGTTAAAATAATGTAAAATATTGTATCGGGGCACAGTTAGCAAATTGCGTCGTACAGTATTTCTAAAATGGCGAATGCGAAAAATAAAACACACGTGAATTTATCTCAGCGCGAAACGACGAGAAATGTTGATTCTTTTCTATTTATTTCCTTTCACGTGACACACAATGTATAGATATTAGGGATAAGGCGAAAAAAAAACAACAACAGGGGGCAACACAATACAAATAATACGGAAACAATTAAGGACCACTTTTGTTTTCGTTTGAAAAGTCATTGAGGACGTAAAACCGAGGCAGTTTCTCAAGACGAAATGTGAGGGGACACTGTTTTGTTTCAAAAACTATTCATAACATGCCGTCAAATCTCACAGGCAAACAAGTCACAAAAACATGCATACCTTTTTGAAATAATGCGAATTTGTCCATTCAGACAATATTCTGCAGTGCTTTGAGCATCGTTTTGTCGACAAAATGAGGTCCGTGACTTTATGAAACTAAAGACTTATTCAAAAGGACTTTCAGTCGTAATGTGCCCCCCCCACCCCTCTCCAGCTCCCCCTACAGTTCAAAAGTTCCCTTGTAAGACACCATGGTAAAATAAATTGTCATTTCACATGGACTGCAGTGACTCAAAATAGCAAAAGGGCGCCCATTTACTCAACTGCAACGAGTACTGGTCATCGATAAGAGGTAAGGCACTTACACAAATGTTAAGGAATTAAAAAATAAATAAAAAATACATTGCTTTGAGCTTGTGAGTGAAGTCGATTGGAGGTGTGGTTCTAATTCAATTATTTGGGGTGTGGCGGCGTGTATTGGAGCGGAGGCCATAATTTGAGGAAATATGGTACGTCGACTAAAATTGTGTACCATTTTATTTTTCTCAAATAGTGGCCGCAGCTCCAACAGTCTTGTTATGCCAAACGGCAAATCGACTGCTCTCAGGTGGCCTTTACTCTGGCATTAAATCATTGTAATTTTTTTTTTTTCCACTTTTGAGAAAGGAAAAAAAAAAAGAATTACGAGAATGCATTTGTTACACTTAAGCCCTTCGTAAGGAGAGAATAAAAATAAAAAGCCTTACCCATAATCGACGTCCGGTCTCATCGGCAGTTGAGAAAATAAAGACCCCCGGTCAGTTTGAGGAGCCCTGACAAACGTGATTAAATCAAAATTTTAATTTTGTGTGAGTCAGTATCATCCCAACTTTAAAAAGGCACATCTTTTTTTTTTTTAAATATATGTATTATTTTCCACACATAATAACAGCTGCTGATTGCACAGAAGACTGATTGCACTTACGCTGAATCAGCAACAACTATTAAAGTCCTGTTTTTTTTTGGTAGACGATGAAACCGAATAGATCCACATTTTGGGACGAATAATCAGAGAATAAATAATCATATACAGTAAAATACTTCCTGCGAGAAGTTCATTCGAGTACGTTGCGCCGCCTGAGGCCGCACGCCTGCCGCTCTTTGCCGCTCTCCTCACAGTTTGTGGCGGCGAGCGAAGGCATGAAATCAAACTCCTCGTCTCCTTCCTCCGCTTCCTCCTCCTCATCATCATCTTTTTTAACCTCCTCCGTTTCTTCCGTGTCGTCGTCTTTCTTTTCCGCCATTTCCTCCTCCGGGGGAGGTTTCTCGACGTCGCCGGCTTCGGCGATGCCTGGTGACTTTTCGGAGGGTTTTTTGGCACGCGGGTCTCCGGCCGGCAAAGTCCCGCTGGCGCCCAGCGTCTCGATGAGGTTGCCCAGGCTTTGCTCAAAGCAGGCCTCTGAAAGGGAGAAATCATTTGTGGCGACGTTAGGAAAATAAGAAATTGCACTTCATCGAAATGTGGTGCAATGGATTAAATTCTTTTTTAAAAAGACAACAACATGCACAATTCGAAGGCTTCGTGTAGTGATTTTTTGCTACCACTAGAGGGAGTATGCGTAACGTGGCACTGAGAATCTTTTTAAAAAAAATAAAAACGAGGAAAATTGTTGTTTTTACATTCACATTACATCAAAATATTGGTGAATGTGGACAATTAAATGAATTAAAAATGAATGTGCAGTAATGTAAGATTCGAGAGAACGAATTACGCTGGTCTACAAGAAAGTTTAAGAGGCTTCATGTCAGCGTATTTTTGGGGCCAATTAAAAAAAAATATCTTTCCTATTTTTTTCAGTTTTCAAAATTTGATTTATTAAAGCTTGCGCAACACGGATGTCACCATGTGCTGTCATTTATGGCTATGTTTAAAAAAAAATCTACCTGTTGCTCAACCTGAACAGTTTTTTTGAAAAAGGATAAAACATCCATCTACAAATGTTTACTTGCATCTCTGATTATTAAAATAAAAATTACCAGTGTTATTTTATGACTAAAATTAACTATTTTACGTACACATTTTAACTTATTTTTCAAAAAAAAAATTCAAAAAAAAATTACAATTGATATTTGGTTTTTGTGTGGTTTTTAGAAATTTTTTTTTTTTAATCAACACTTAGTTCCAATAAATTCCTATTTTGGTGCGACTTGAAGGGCAAAGTACTCAGTGTAAAAAAAAAAAAAAAATTGAGAACGCAACATTCAAATCAATCAGCGGGTGTAAGTCGACTACATGCTTTCCATCGGGCACGGGTGGCGTGCTGCAACAACACGTGGCCACCTTAGAGAGTCAAATAAGATGCAAAAAATGCGGTGTCGATAGCGTGGACGTCCGCGACACTTCGAACGCACCGTTCATAGGCGGGCAGTCCATTCCTCTCTTTTTCATGAGGTCGCGGATGGTCTGGAGTTGGCTCATGATCTCGTTCTTCTGCTCCTGGGCCACAGATTTTGCGCTGGTGACGCACAACGAGAGGCACGTTGGGGTTTTTGTGTTTGACGCGGCTATGCAACGTGGGTTCATGATTGTGTACATGTTATAAATAGCAAACATCCAACCCGCTCACCAGTTTGTGAGCGGGTCGAGCTGGGTGAGAATAGAATTGAGCATCCTTTCTGTTTGGGCGAGCCTTTGTTCCAGTTCGTTCAACTGGTTCTCTGTCGGGGGGGGGAATAAACACGCGTCAATTACTTGTGGTAAGTAAATATTGCGGGAACACAAAGACAAGGTATTCAAATGGAAAATCGCAGCGAATGGAAACCACACCTGCCTCGGCCGACTTTTTGGCCCCTTTCGTAAATTTCTCCTTTTGTGCTTGGTCATCTGAAGACTTGATCTGCAGATGGAGAAGAAAAAAATCATAACTATTACATTTTCGGCAAAGGCGGTGATTTAATTTACGGCAAACTGGGCCCAACCGATATGACTTTTCTTCGGCCGATATCAATTCCGATATTTAGCAGAAAATAATTCCGGCAACTGATTAAATGGCCGATTAATTTAAAGAATACATAACGAATAAAATCAAAGTAATTACAGGCAGAACATAACACTGCTTTAAGTTCACACATAGACATTTTTTTTTTTACAAAATATGAAAACGTGGACGCTCACCCAAAACTTTTCAGCACGTGGGGACTTACTACACTCCATCTCCACTTTCACGTTGACGGTGGAGGATCATGCTTCCGGAAAATTTGGCAACGCGACCGTAACACGGAACTCCACCGTTGTCGCTGTAAATGCTTGGCTACGGTCACGAGCGGCCGCACAAAAAAACAAAAACATCAAAAAAACAAAACTAAACAAAAAAAGGGGGACAGCAACGTCATCAAGAAAAGACGCATTTTGGATTGGATGGCTTCAGAGCTCCCTCCAGTGGACAAATGGCATAAAGACAACCTTCAGTGGGAAATTTGAAAGCATTTACTGTTCCGTTTTTTTTTTTTTTGGAAAAGGGCTCAAATCAGCCAATTTTAACGATTAATCGGTCACGCCCTATTGAGCAATATCACAAGTTACGTAAAGAGAAAGATGAATGTGTCAATGTTCATTTCACTCAATTGGTGTTTGCGAATTCGGGCTTACCTTCAAAAACTTGTATGCCGCAAACACTCCGACCCCAATGGCGTACAACGGCATGAGCGTGAACACGTAGCCCTTCCCGTTGTTGTTGGATTTGAATTTGTCGCCCTTCATCTCCTGCTCCATCAGTTTCTTCATCTGCTGCATGCTCTCGGCCGACTGATGTGAGCTGGGGGCTCCCATGCTGACCGGCGGACCTCGAAGCGCACCTGCAATGACAATTGTGTGACCAGAACAGGGACAATGGAAACTCGAGTTTAGCTTTTATTATATTTGCATTAGAAATGAAAAAGTATGTCAGGATTAAACGAATATAAATTCTGTTTGTGAAAAATGTTGAATTGTGGGAAATTTCGGGATTTTTTTTTTTTTTTGAATGAGATTAATATAACGCAAACCCCAAAAATTTTTGGAGTGGAATTTAATTACGTAAACAGAATGATGAGAAGTGGAGGAAATATGTGGAAGAATATCATGGAATAAGATAGCAGTCAAAGCGACGTGCACACAGAAGATGTGCGTCACCAAGAGGAAGCAATTACAATAATAGGCTATTATTTAAAAAAAAACAAAAACCTTTCGCATTTACACATGAATAAGATTACGTCACCTTTTCTGGAGTAGCGAGGGTCGAGCCTCGATTCCTTCGTCCCAGTGCCGACGCCGAACAGCTTTGGCAGGACTACAAACGTGAACAGCACCGCCGTGAACGCCAGAGCAACTTGTTGTGTTGTGGACAAGACCATCCTCGAACCACTTGTCCCACCGAAGTTCGGTCAAAGAGAACGACCGTGCAGAAAACGGTATCAATGACTCAATCAATTCAACGCACGCCCAGGTGGTTGTGGATTGCGAGGCCACAGTTGTGTTGACTACAAATTTAGCCCACTACCCAAATCAACAACACCATTTCCGCTAAGAGACTTTTCAGAATTAAATTCATGATTAACGAGATTTTTTTTAATCCGGAAAAAAATCGGTGCCTTCAGCATTAAGTAAGCATGTGTTCCACGAAAAATATATTCAGTAAGTAATGAATCAATTTATACTCAGTATCGTGAGCGTATATCGTTTTGTATTTCACACCTCGGCGTTATATTATTTTATTTTGAAAAGCAGAAAATTACGTTTCCCTGACAGCTGATGTTGCATTCAGGCTGAGTATAAAAATCGGAATTTGTGTCATGAAGTTGATTCCGAGTTATAAGCTCGTGAATTCCAGGTCAAAAATTATTATGAAAATGTTTTTCCAGAATAAAATATTCAAATATCACACTATTTCAGCTTGAGTTTTATTCATAGTGTTTGTGTGTGTTACAGTTATAAACATACATTTTGCATTTGCAAAATATATAGATACACTGAACAGATTTTCCGGAAATGTTGTAGAGGGGTGATGGACACCATATCTTTTCAAACATTTGCGAGGGTTTATTTAGTTTAGTTATTTAGTTTATTTAGTTATTTATTTAGTGGCGACCTATGTTTACTCAAAGGGGGCGAGACATTTATTTGTTCAAGCATCAGTGAATAACCGAGGCCACTATTTGACAATCTGAGGTACATGAAATTCAATAGTTTACTCCAACCAAAATAGCTTCATCTACAATTGTGTCCAGAAAAAACACGAAAAACCTTTTAAGAGCTTATCTCACACCTTACAACATGAAAAAGAAAAACAAAGGCCGGCTACTGAGCTAACTCCGAGTTCGTACTGCTAAAACCATTCGCCCTGCAGTCCTCACAGGACAGACCTGTTTCAGCTTGGCAGCTGCATTGTACCGGCCAGCTTCCGTACGACGGATTTCCTTCTCCTTTGGTTTTGACATCCTCAGTCTCGGTGGCGCTTATGTACGTCACCTCCGACTGGCTGCACTCGCAGGGCCGCGCCTGCTTCGGCGAGCCGGGGAGGCTGCGCTGTTCGTCGTGCTCGACGGGGATGCTGGGTGACGGGCTGTGCTGGATGCCGATCGGGGCGCCGTCATCCAGACTGTGAGGGCGATCCAAAGACAAGTAGCCAGAAGGTGGAAGCAACTGACCCAATGTCTGAAGAACCTAAAAAAGAAAATGCAAATGACATAGCCACAAACAAAACAGTGCATCAGGGTTATAATGGTTTTAGAATTTTTATGACAGTGAGTTCGTTTTTTTTTTTTTTTTAATTTCAGAGTGGGTTTGTTTGTTTTTTTATTAGTTTTAATATTAGTTTTAGTTTTTTGGGGGGAAATTTTTTCGAAAAATTCATGTGATACAAAAATGGCCAACGTTAAAATTCAGTAGCATAGTAGGCCCAAGCGTTCATCAAAAAACAACGCAGGTTTTATTTATAAAAGTATGTTTAATATGATTTTAATTAATTGAAACTGGCCCCTGATAGGAAAAAAAAAGATTTCCCAATGAACTTCGGAGCTTACGTTCTCCATGCTGGGCCTGCTGGGGTGACTCGCGACGCATCGCAAGGAAAGATCCAGCAGACTGCGCTCCAAAGACGTCGGCCATCGACCGGCAGACGCATCCAAAAACTGCAGGCAAGAGTCCACGCCGCCGCTGTCTTCCGCTTCGGAGGTGAGCAAATCGCGCTGTTGACAGGAG